TTGAATACTCTGAGCCTCTAATGCTAGTTGCCTTTAATGCAACTAGCTTAAAGGTCATTAGAATGTAACAGCGGACAGACCATTTGAGGCAGATGAAGCACAAGTTCTCTCTGTATTACTGTGTAATGAAGAAGAGGGTTTTAGGCTGCTGTAAGATCAGTGTGGGCTTTTGATGCGCATTTGGCCGCTGACATCTCGCTAACTGCGCCGTCACCGACGAGAAACACCCTGCAAATGACATGCCACGAACAAAATAAGTTCCTCGGAGTAATGTAATAAACCAGCTCACTTCCTCTGGCAATCGCAGAAGTGGCGGAAGTACGTCAGTTTGCTAGACTCCGAGCATTTACACTTCGCAGTGCGATTTGTGACGAGCAAGAACAGAGAGAAGAGGAGCCGTGAATCGTCCGCTGTCTCTTTAAAGCCACACAGCGACGCTTCGCGTATTCCGACAAACACGCCGACGTCTTTCCCTTCAGCCGCAGCGAGCGGGCAGCGTTCAGGAATGGACGCGTTCAACTTACTCTCTGCTGGATAAAGAACTCTTTTCCTGGTTGGATATGATTTGTTTGTGGTGGATTGTGTACTGAAGAATGATCTTTGGGGGACAGGCTATAACAGCGTTTTCAGCTTGACGCGGACCGTGTTGTCTCGGATGGTTTCGTGGCGTCTCTTCACGCTGAAACTTACCGATACAATAAGTATTTGTAAATTGTTTGACAAACACGCGGATGCTTATTTTCTTGCTGCTGGCGCACAGTGGGTCATGAAACGGGTGGAAATGAAAGCAGGGCCAGCAACATGAATCCAGCGCGCGGTCTGCATTTTGTACACACTGATGTTGTTGTTGTTGTGTTCCGTTGCAACAAAGTTGCCGTGTGCTTGGAATTCACGCTACTGTAATTAAACAGCCATTTTGCACCTGTTTAAATGAAGCAAGGCGTTTCGATCCTGTGACGCTGTGGTTTGGATTATACACACGCCTCGACCTGCATGGATCACATTTGTTTGTTTATCACATTACGGAGCTTAACATCAAGGTCATACTGTAAATTGTTTACAGGCTTCAGTATCTATGGGTGTGTTTTATTGATTGTGTGGAATCGGTCGGTTTTGAGGTGATCGAGTGTCATTTTTTTTTTCCTTTTTGGGGTTTTTGCGGGGGGAGGACATCGCAACGATTTTAAAATGGAAGGGAAAGTAAAGCAGAGTCGCAGATCCCGTTCGCAGCGCGAGAGGGGACGGAAACGGGAGGCACGCGCCGGGGAAGCCCGCGATCGGAGCCCCTCGTCTGGTTCCGAACGGGAGCGAAGTCCCGGTAAAAACGCTCCGCCACGCTCGACATCCTCGAGCAGAATCCCGCGACCACCCCGGAGGAAGAGACGCGAGTCTAGTTCTCAGGAGGAGGATATTATTGATGGATTTGCTATAGCCAGTTTCGTCAGTTTGGACCGTCTCGAGGTAAGAAGCGGTTTAAATATTCTGAACACGCCCGACCGTCAATGGCCGCAGCGACGGTTCAAGTTTTTGTTGTTGTTTATACGATTGTGATGACATAACCGCTTCTGATGGCGTTAAACAGGTGTTAGCTGTTATCCCAGCGTCGCATTCCAGAAGTTCCGTTCCAAGTTAGCGTTTTTGATGATCGAGTACAGTGCTAGTAGCCGTCGTGACGTAACAGAGGTCACGGCTGTTGCTGTTTTGGCGCTGTCACTCTTGCAGAAGTGTGTCAGCTTTGTTTGACAGCCTGGTCACTTCGAGGAATACAGTGAATCATTCTGAAGGGTCCGTTTGAAGTGTGCATTACAAGAAATTCAGCATCGACTTCAGTTTGTCTTGTTAAAGTGCTTAAATGATTCATGACATAGCGGGAAGTTGTGGTTTTTATGGTTTTGGGGGAGTTTTTTTTTTTTTTAATGTAGAGGAGCTGTAAATGTCACACATCTGTTGACATGCAAAACGGAGATAGCACCTACAATGACTGTGCTATGGCTGTGACAAATACTGTCGTCCAAAATGGTTTCCTACTTGTTGGGTGCCACACTGACTTTGATTTGGCTATTTAATATGTTCTTCAAGTAATGTTTAAAAGCAAACTAGCTGCAGTGATTATTCTGATTATGCCAACCTACTTAGGCCAATAGTCTTAGATATTTTAGAATTTAAGCCATATAAAAACTTTTTTTTAAATTCAGAAATTAAGTTGTAAGTTCATCATAGATGAATTATAGCCATTTTGTATGAGTTCAGTTTTAATGCTTTTTTTGAATGGCCTAACATTATTGACCCATATGTAAATTAAAAATCGAAATCACCTACATTGTTCCAATTGCTTCCTTAAGTCAAGGTAAAGTACTGTAAACCTTCATAGAGTGAACGTGGGCTGTGTTTGTTTTGTGTGTGTGTATGTGTGTTCCAGACAGGATCATTGATTCAGCAAGTGGTATGTTTAAACTTGTTTTACCAATAGAGAAGCTAATAAGGGCAAGTGAACGACGTCTTTACATGGGTGTTGTGCAAACAGCCTTGACATGGAGTTGAATAGTCAGCTGAAGTGGTGGGTTATTGGCTAGCGAGTGTGAGTCTGTGTGGGTACATTCATGACAAATGACAGTGGCCTAACATGACCAGTGAACTGTAAAACAGGGCTCAGTCACAAAAACAAACAGATATATACTTCTACATTCACTTTGAAAACAGTTGGCATAGTACCTCTTGAGAGCAAATGATTTACGTGTTACTTTTATATAAAAAGGCCAGTCTGTGTTCATTTAAACTGCTAATTTAGTAGTAATTTTTTCTGCTTTGCAGATGTGTTCAGGCATTTGACCCTGATAAGTAGGCATTCCCTGGTCTGATTACTAATGGCATGCTTACATTTTCATCAACACATTCATTTTTGATAACAAACAGTCAAGATCTGAGCCCTAGAGACTATAGTCCTGCTCATATAAGTTGTGCATCATAGCACATCACTTAATATATGTAGAAGGTGTTCTAGTTGACATGATTCTTTTGAGAATCCACCCACAGGTGCAGCGTATTTCAGGCCACTGCAGATAAATGCATCTTTTTTTAACTTCTCCTTGTGTTTTGCATGTCTGATGAACAGTTAAGTAAGTAGAGCTCTTCATCTGGCAATGGAAAAGAAATCCATCAGATGCATTTGTTTGCTACTTAATGGTTTGCTTCTGAATCAGCTTACCTGTGTATATGAATTTTCCAGGGTGATTTAAATGTCAGCTGTGGGATATGATGCGGTGTGGTAGAAGCTTTGAGATGCATTTTAGCAAAATTACATAATGCCTCCCAGCTCTTTAAGTCCTTCTGTGTAATGAAGTACTTGATTGATAAGAATGCTGCCGTTATTCCCCCCTCATGAGAACGAGGAGGCTTGTGTGGTTGTGCTGGATACAGGATGTAAATCCTCTTTGCTGAGCCGGTTGATCCGTATGGTTATATATTTCTCTGGGTTTAATGTTACAAATTGGAATTTTAATTGCATAACTTTACGTAATGTGATTGTGAAGTGTTTTGTTTGCTTTTCCGTGTTATAGTGATGATCTGATCTCTGCTTGTTCTCATTGTGACTATATTTGACTTCACTATAGACACAAAAAACATTTTATTTAACGATTAATAGATAAAACGAAGGTGAGGCTGACGATGTCATAGTGGAAACTCAGGAATTTTTGGGAAGTGCCTTTAATAAATCATTATACTGGAATGTGGTGTCTCCAGTTTGATTTAGTTCTTTAAAGTCATTATGGCATGGATTTTTTTTATTTTATTTTAATGTTCCTTGAGGTTTTCAAGATTTTGTTTTTTTTGCACAAAAACAAATATATATGTGGAGAAAAGATTATATTAAACCCTCATATTGATCCTCTGTCTGAAATTATCTATTTTAAAGGGGTCATATGACGTTGCTAAAAGAACGTTATTTTGTGTATTTGGTGTAATGCAATGTGTTTATGCTGTTTAAGATTAAAAAAACACATTATTTTCCACATACTGTAAATTATTGTTGCTACTCTATGCCCCACCTTTCTGAAATGCGCTGATTTTTATGAAGCTCATCGTTCTGAAAAGCGAGGTGTGCTCTGATTGGCCAGCTATCTAGTGCATTGTGATTGGCCGAATACCTCAAGCGTGTGACTGAAATGTTACGCCCCTTACCATACTGTGATGCCTTGTCCTGGCGCGACGAGACAAAACCAATAAAACCCATTACAAACAAAGCATTTGTTGCATCCGGTGGGGACATAATTATGGATTATAATGACTTATACTGTCTTTTTACGCGTAGCGTATCGCGCCGCCTAAACATAAAACCATGTCTGCATTTGTGATCGGAGAAACGGACAAACAACAAGCGCTACTCTACACTGCTCAAAACTCGTGTTTTAATCATCAGTGGCAAATTCTTTAAATATGAAAACGTACTTGCAGTCTGTGAGTCAGAAGCGCCAGACTGTCCTTGCAAAGTTGGAATTGCCCCACTTTATAGAAACAGCCATTGTGCACAGACGGCATTGTAGGCTACTGTCCCAGGTTCAGAAAACAGCCCTCCGTAAAATGCGCTGCACACATCTGAATATTTGGGTTGAACTTAACCACTGATTTCTAGTTGTGTCCTCTTTTGGAAGACCAAACAAAGTAGTTTTGCTTTCACAATGAAATGCAGCATCTCCACGAAATGGCGGCGGCGGCAGCAGCAACAATACTACACCGAGAATCAAAGTTACGCTGCCTTTCTTTGCATGAACATTTGGGCGGTGTTTTGCAAATCTACCCACACAGTGACATAGACATGTGGGGGCGTGTTTAAACGAGGCGTTTAGGAGGGCGTGGACGAGTCTTAACTTTTATAAAGAATATCTCTTTGGGTTTGAGACTTTAGGCTTTGCAACTTTAGGGATCTTATATACCTCGACCTGCATGGATCACATTTGTTTGTTTATCACATTACGGAGCTTAACATCAAGGTCATACTGTAAATTGTTTACAGGCTTCAGTATCTATGGGTGTGTTTTATTGATTGTGTGGAATCGGTCGGTTTTGAGGTGATCGAGTGTCATTTTTTTTTTCCTTTTTGGGGTTTTTGCGGGGGGAGGACATCGCAACGATTTTAAAATGGAAGGGAAAGTAAAGCAGAGTCGCAGATCCCGTTCGCAGCGCGAGAGGGGACGGAAACGGGAGGCACGCGCCGGGGAAGCCCGCGATCGGAGCCCCTCGTCTGGTTCCGAACGGGAGCGAAGTCCCGGTAAAAACGCTCCGCCACGCTCGACATCCTCGAGCAGAATCCCGCGACCACCCCGGAGGAAGAGACGCGAGTCTAGTTCTCAGGAGGAGGATATTATTGATGGATTTGCTATAGCCAGTTTCGTCAGTTTGGACCGTCTCGAGGTAAGAAGCGGTTTAAATATTCTGAACACGCCCGACCGTCAATGGCCGCAGCGACGGTTCAAGTTTTTGTTGTTGTTTATACGATTGTGATGACATAACCGCTTCTGATGGCGTTAAACAGGTGTTAGCTGTTATCCCAGCGTCGCATTCCAGAAGTTCCGTTCCAAGTTAGCGTTTTTGATGATCGAGTACAGTGCTAGTAGCCGTCGTGACGTAACAGAGGTCACGGCTGTTGCTGTTTTGGCGCTGTCACTCTTGCAGAAGTGTGTCAGCTTTGTTTGACAGCCTGGTCACTTCGAGGAATACAGTGAATCATTCTGAAGGGTCCGTTTGAAGTGTGCATTACAAGAAATTCAGCATCGACTTCAGTTTGTCTTGTTAAAGTGCTTAAATGATTCATGACATAGCGGGAAGTTGTGGTTTTTATGGTTTTGGGGGAGTTTTTTTTTTTTTTAATGTAGAGGAGCTGTAAATGTCACACATCTGTTGACATGCAAAACGGAGATAGCACCTACAATGACTGTGCTATGGCTGTGACAAATACTGTCGTCCAAAATGGTTTCCTACTTGTTGGGTGCCACACTGACTTTGATTTGGCTATTTAATATGTTCTTCAAGTAATGTTTAAAAGCAAACTAGCTGCAGTGATTATTCTGATTATGCCAACCTACTTAGGCCAATAGTCTTAGATATTTTAGAATTTAAGCCATATAAAAACTTTTTTTTAAATTCAGAAATTAAGTTGTAAGTTCATCATAGATGAATTATAGCCATTTTGTATGAGTTCAGTTTTAATGCTTTTTTTGAATGGCCTAACATTATTGACCCATATGTAAATTAAAAATCGAAATCACCTACATTGTTCCAATTGCTTCCTTAAGTCAAGGTAAAGTACTGTAAACCTTCATAGAGTGAACGTGGGCTGTGTTTGTTTTGTGTGTGTGTATGTGTGTTCCAGACAGGATCATTGATTCAGCAAGTGGTATGTTTAAACTTGTTTTACCAATAGAGAAGCTAATAAGGGCAAGTGAACGACGTCTTTACATGGGTGTTGTGCAAACAGCCTTGACATGGAGTTGAATAGTCAGCTGAAGTGGTGGGTTATTGGCTAGCGAGTGTGAGTCTGTGTGGGTACATTCATGACAAATGACAGTGGCCTAACATGACCAGTGAACTGTAAAACAGGGCTCAGTCACAAAAACAAACAGATATATACTTCTACATTCACTTTGAAAACAGTTGGCATAGTACCTCTTGAGAGCAAATGATTTACGTGTTACTTTTATATAAAAAGGCCAGTCTGTGTTCATTTAAACTGCTAATTTAGTAGTAATTTTTTCTGCTTTGCAGATGTGTTCAGGCATTTGACCCTGATAAGTAGGCATTCCCTGGTCTGATTACTAATGGCATGCTTACATTTTCATCAACACATTCATTTTTGATAACAAACAGTCAAGATCTGAGCCCTAGAGACTATAGTCCTGCTCATATAAGTTGTGCATCATAGCACATCACTTAATATATGTAGAAGGTGTTCTAGTTGACATGATTCTTTTGAGAATCCACCCACAGGTGCAGCGTATTTCAGGCCACTGCAGATAAATGCATCTTTTTTTAACTTCTCCTTGTGTTTTGCATGTCTGATGAACAGTTAAGTAAGTAGAGCTCTTCATCTGGCAATGGAAAAGAAATCCATCAGATGCATTTGTTTGCTACTTAATGGTTTGCTTCTGAATCAGCTTACCTGTGTATATGAATTTTCCAGGGTGATTTAAATGTCAGCTGTGGGATATGATGCGGTGTGGTAGAAGCTTTGAGATGCATTTTAGCAAAATTACATAATGCCTCCCAGCTCTTTAAGTCCTTCTGTGTAATGAAGTACTTGATTGATAAGAATGCTGCCGTTATTCCCCCCTCATGAGAACGAGGAGGCTTGTGTGGTTGTGCTGGATACAGGATGTAAATCCTCTTTGCTGAGCCGGTTGATCCGTATGGTTATATATTTCTCTGGGTTTAATGTTACAAATTGGAATTTTAATTGCATAACTTTACGTAATGTGATTGTGAAGTGTTTTGTTTGCTTTTCCGTGTTATAGTGATGATCTGATCTCTGCTTGTTCTCATTGTGACTATATTTGACTTCACTATAGACACAAAAAACATTTTATTTAACGATTAATAGATAAAACGAAGGTGAGGCTGACGATGTCATAGTGGAAACTCAGGAATTTTTGGGAAGTGCCTTTAATAAATCATTATACTGGAATGTGGTGTCTCCAGTTTGATTTAGTTCTTTAAAGTCATTATGGCATGGATTTTTTTTATTTTATTTTAATGTTCCTTGAGGTTTTCAAGATTTTGTTTTTTTTGCACAAAAACAAATATATATGTGGAGAAAAGATTATATTAAACCCTCATATTGATCCTCTGTCTGAAATTATCTATTTTAAAGGGGTCATATGACGTTGCTAAAAGAACGTTATTTTGTGTATTTGGTGTAATGCAATGTGTTTATGCTGTTTAAGATAAAAAAAACACATTATTTTCCACATACTGTAAATTATTGTTGCTACTCTATGCCCCACCTTTCTGAAATGCGTTGATTTTTATGAAGCTCATCGTTCTGAAAAGCGAGGTGTGCTCTGATTGGCCAGCTATCTAGTGCATTGTGATTGGCCGAATACCTCAAGCGTGTGACTGAAATGTTACGCCCCTTACCATACTGTGATGCCTTGTCCTGGCGCGACGAGACAAAACCAATAAAACCCATTACAAACAAAGCATTTGTTGCATCCGGTGGGGACATAATTATGGATTATAATGACTTATACTGTCTTTTTACGCGTAGCGTATCGCGCCGCGTAAACATAAAACCATGTCTGCATTTGTGATCGGAGAAACGGACAAACAACAAGCACTACTCTACACTGCTCAAAACTCGTGTTTTAATCATCAGTGGCAAATTCTTTAAATATGAAAACGTACTTGCAGTCTGTGAGTCAGAAGCGCCAGACTGTCCTTGCAAAGTTGGAATTGCCCCACTTTATAGAAACAGCCATTGTGCACAGACGGCATTGTAGGCTACTGTCCCAGGTTCAGAAAACAGCCCTCCGTAAAATGCGCTGCACACATCTGAATATTTGGGTTGAACTTAACCACTGATTTCTAGTTGTGTCCTCTTTTGGAAGACCAAACAAAGTAGTTTTGCTTTCACAATGAAATGCAGCATCTCCACGAAATGGCGGCGGCGGCAGCAGCAACAATACTACACCGAGAATCAAAGTTACGCTGCCTTTCTTTGCATGAACATTTGGGCGGTGTTTTGCAAATCTACCCACACAGTGACATAGACATGTGGGGGCGTGTTTAAACGAGGCGTTTAGGAGGGCGTGGACGAGTCTTAACTTTTATAAAGAATATCTCTTTGGGTTTGAGACTTTAGGCTTTGCAACTTTAGGGATCTTATATACACACAAACAGCTTGTAACACTTCAAAGAGAAAGGAAAACTTGAAATTGCATCATATGACCCCTTTAAGGAGGCACCTCTTTTAAGGTCGCTAAACGGCCACTGATTGGCTAACGTCATTGCATATGAAGACAAGTATCATCGATCCCTTGCTATTGCATGTGAGTAAGTGTTTTGAAAGCATTATTACGGTGGCCGAGAGGTGCAGAACAAATCACAATTCTGAAAACAAAATAACAAATTACAAACGCAAATGCAAGTCTACAAAACAAAATAACAATTCAGAAAGCACAACAACAATTCAGAAAACATTATAACAAGTCAGAAAGCACAACGACAAATCCGAAACTAAATTAACAAGTCAGAAAACACAAGTTTGAGACGGCTATAAGTTTTTATAGTTTGAGACCGCGCCATTGGTTTGGGATTACTCACCGCTGACTGGATGAGACCTCTGTCAATCAAAAAATACGGAGTGTCTATTTAGATTTAGTTACAAGAGGCTGTGACTCATCAGCTCCAGTGGTACAGATGGATAAGCGCTAGTCGTTGGCATTTTGACGCGATCAACCCGGGTTCGATCCCACCTTTTGCCGAACTTTTTTTTCTCACTATTTGCAACAAGTAGTATACTTGATAGTAGAAATCCTGCTATTTTAACATAGTGTAACTAGGTATTTGCACTTAGTGTAAATAGCATATTGCTAAAAAATACTGCTATTTTCACGTAGTGTAAATAGAATCCATTGCTAATACGAGATTTGAAAAGGGAGAAAAAAAAAGTTCGGCAAAAGGCAGGATCGAACCCGGGTCGATTGCGTCAAAAAGCCAAGGGCAAGTGCTTATCCATCTGCACCACTGGAGCTGATGTTCTATGACCACTTTTAACTAAATGTAAATAGACACCCCGTATTTTTTATTCCATAGTAAGGGCAATTCATACAATACATTTAAACTGAGCTACTTTAATACCATCTCCGAACTTTCTACCACGACTCTGCTGTTCTTCGGCTGGTTCTTCCTGTATACATTGATTGACAGATGTCTCGTCCAGTCAGCGGTGAGTAATCCCAAACCAATGGCGCTGTCTCAAACTATACCTACCTTTTCCGGTTTGTCTGAATTGTCGTTGTGTTTTCTGACTTGTTAATTTGTTTTCGGATTTGTCATTGTGCTTTCTGACTTGTTATAATGTTTTCTGAATTGTTGTTGTGCTTTCTGAATTGTTATTTTGTTTTTTAGACTTGCATTTGCGTTTGTAATTTGTTATTTTGTTTTCAGAATTGTGATCTGCTTTGCACTTTACGGCCACCGTACATTATCCATATAAAACTGTTAATTATAGACAAAGCATTATAAAATAATATACATATGATTTGCAACATCAGCCATTAAGCAAAGAAACATCAGTGTTTTTTTACCGTACATTACTGCCATATGGACATCAACTTGAGATTGTCACCACTGATAAGCTATTACTAAATATAATGTAGAAACTTACATTTTCTGTAAAGCTGCTTTGCAACTATTTA